ATCGTTTACACAACTATAACCGCGAGTTGTTCATAACGATAGACCGCGGATGTATGTATATCTTTCTTTGCCATGCTAACTTCGGTTTAATATTCTATATTACATCGGGTAGGTCTTTACCATTCATATATAAACAAACACACCACCTGCAACTTCAAAATCGTAATTATTTCCTTGATGCCAAAGTTTAATTTACAGTTCAAATTAAACTCTAAAACAAGTCTCTGTAATTAAGTAATTTGATCTAACCTCAGGTAATGATATATACTATAGTTTGCTCAATATTTGGTTAATTATGGATAAAAATGGTGTTTCACGAGTTATAAGTAATTTTTCAAACCAGATGAGATCTAGTTGTAATTACAGCTAACCTTAATTTCTTCTTCACTATATATATATGGGTGTTTCTACCATGAGATCATGTGTTCTAAATTTATATGAGATACCCCTTCAAATTGTGACACGTGTCCTAGCAAAAAAACATATTTTTTCCTCATTTATGTATTGTCGCAAATACCCTTTGTACAATAATTATAAATTATTAATGAAATGTCAATTTCACCCTCTCTATTTTAATGCAATTTTAAATCTATATTTATTGCGGAATTAAAATTTATAAAGTCAATTATATCATTATTCATAAAAATAATTAAACCACTCATCCAAAATTGCATCAACCTGAATTCAAACTTGTGACCATCTGAAAACATAAAAGAACACTTACCATTAAGACACAACACATAATTGGCAATAAACTAACAATACGTATATATATCACAAAGCTACAATTTATAATGGTTATAAAACTTATATAAGTAATGTTAAATAAATGATTAATTCTCATATAATTATTATTATATATTAATAATATCCCATACTAACAAATCTTTATATAATATATTTTAAAAATCTAAGGAAATGTTGATCAACTCGTGTAATTTAAAAATGAATTTCGAAAGAATTTGAAGTTTGAATTAAATCGTAAATTGTAAGATTTAATTAAATCGTAATATTTGAATCAATTAAACTCATGTGTTTTCAATTCAAAAACAATATTCAAAGATTTGAAGGATTAAGCTCAACTCATTTCAATTCGTAGACAATATTCAAATATTTGAATCGGTTAAAGTCAATAATTTACAATAGCGTATTAATTTAACTATGTATAGTTAAAGTTTAGTATCTTTCTTTATTGAATTTTATCATAAAAAATAATAAAATTTAATTCGTAAAAATCGTAAGATTTAATCAGTTCATGGTTAGATTAAATCTTACGATTTACGATTTGATTCTTACAATTTTACGAATTAAATTATTATTTTTTTGTTAAAATTGAATTAAAAGGATAGTAGACTTTAATTATAAATAGTTAACTCGATTAATACGTTATTGTCAGTGGTTGAACTTAATCGATTTAAAATTTTGAATAATATTTACAAATTAAAAGGATTTGCGCCTAATTGATTCAAATCATACGCTTTAATTAATCATATGATTTGATTCTTACGTAATTTAGGAATTATTTTTTTTATGATAAAATTGAATTAAAAATGTATTACACTTTAATAATAATAGTTAATTTGATTAAGACGTTCTTGTTAATAGTTGAGCGCGCTAATTAATCGATTCAAATATTTGAATAATGTTTACAAATTGAAATAACTTGAGCTTAATTGGTTCAAATATTACGCTATGATAAAATATTATAATTTACGATTAGGTTCGTACATGTGTTAGGAATTAAATTTATTATTTTTTATGACAAAGTTGAATTACAAAGACATTAGACATTACTTATAAATAGTTAAATCGATTATGTAACACGTTATGTCAATAATTAAGCAACTAATTCAAATATTTGAATAATGTTTACTAATTGAAAGGATTTGAACTTAATCGATTCAAATCTTACTATTTGATTAAATTAAATATTAAAAGAAAAATCACTATATAGTATTTGTAGTATATAATTTTATTTTAAAGTGAGAAAACTACTAATTGGAATGAGTTATAAATTTTTCTTCTTCTAAAACATATTATTTTATTTTTTATTTGGATTTGTCACACTATCGATTTAATAACATAAGTGAGTTTGAATTAAGTTATGCATTTTTTTATATTTAATTGAGCATTCTTTACATTTTTAAATGGTGAAGTTTATTAATAATTCTAATATTACATAATTAATGATAGATGTTTGGCGTATTGAACTGCAATTCTTTATATTTTTTCAAACTTTATTATATTAAATTTGCTAATAATTTATTTAATATCATTTAATAATAATGAATGTTGTAATTAATATTTTAATTAACAGTATTTATACAATTATAGTTAATTGTATCATAATAAGTTAATGTGTTTGGATGGTTAGTGTGATGAATGTATTAGGATGTCCCAAGTTCTATCCCCAATTAATGCATTTTTTTCGATTATTTATCAAATAAAACTCACAATGAATTTAAATTAATTATTTAATTAAAATATAGTAGGGGGTAAATTAGACAATTCAATGTTAATCAATTTTATATTAATTTAATAAAAAATAATCGAATGATAATTTGGTAAAGTATTTGATTTTTTAGAACATAGGCCATGTTATTTTCTAGGGTTCAGATTTAATCTTAGAAAAATAATGGTGATTAATATGTATCTCATATAAATTTAGAACATAGGTGGTGTCACCCTAAAGACTATATATATATGGGGCTATATGACAAACACCCCTCATTCAATTTTGATTTCTTGATAAATCCATTTTTTTTAATTGATATTTGTTATAAATCCAATTGATTGAAATTATCCAAAATACCCCTATTTAATATTACTGAAAATTATCATATTATATTATTTTGAAAAATCCATTATTTTTTTTGGTAGTTATGCAAATCCCTTTATTTTCTCCCAACACCATCCCCTAATTATCTCAATTATTTCCCCTCTCACGCATTTCAGTTTTAGTTTTATAATCTTTTTTTATTTTTTTGAATAGTTTTTTTTAAATCAATTTAAAACAAAAATTGGTTTTTTTTTTATTTCACTTTTTTAAATGGTTCATATTTAAAAAAAAAAATGAAATCCAAAAACCACTAAATTTATTAAAAAACCACTATAAAAATATTGTAAAAATTACTATAAAATAAGCAAAATCCACATTAATATTAACATAATCCAATATGTAATTAATGAAAACCACTCTGTAATTAACGAAAATCACTATGTAATTAACAAATTCCATTCCAAAATTCACTAAAAACTTATCGATTAACAAAAACCACTATATAAATAATGAAAACCACTCTGTAATTAACAAAAACCATCACTATGTAATTAACAAATTTCATTCAAAAAATTCACTAAAAACCTATCAATTAACAAAAACCACTATATAATTAATGAAAACCACTCTGTAATTAACAAAAACTACTGTATAATTAAACGAATTTCATTACAAAAATCCACTATGTAATTAATGAAAACCACTCTATAATTAATAAAATCACTATTTACATGTAATTAACGAATTCCATTACGAAAAAATCCACTATGTAATTAATGAAAACCACTCTATAATTAATAAAATCAACATGTACATGTAATTAACGAATGTAATTAACGAATTCTTGTACATGTAATTAACGAATTCCACTACATATAAGCAAACATATTCATATATTTACGTTTCTCTCGAGATAACTCCTGATTGAGATGTTGGGCTTCGATAAACCACTGAAGAAACTAACAATTAGAAAAACTTATTAATAAATACTAAAAATGTGAACTGCAAATTAAAAAAAATAAAAGAAAAAGAAAAAAAAAATCACAGAAAGCTATTTAATTGAAGAATTTGGTGATAATGGCCATTGAAGTGATGAAGACTAATAACAGCAACATCAGCTATA